CCTGCCTCAGCCTCCCAAGCTACTAGGATTACGGACATGCGCCACCAGGCCGGGCTGTCATTGTTTGTCATCTCCTGCAGGGAGCACAGGGCTGCAGAGGTCCCTGGAGGTCCCTGGAGGTCCCCGGGTCTGGGGAAGCCATCAAGGACAGCCCCAGCCCCGGTTCATGGTGCACCACTCCCAGGAGGCAGCCCATTTGACAGAAAAGGAAACTGAGGCCCAGAGGGGCGTGTCCCTAGGTGTCCACTCAGCATGGGCTGGAAGGGACCCGGCCAGACAGGCAGGTTTGAGCCAGGCCTGCCTCAGTTTACCCGTCCACCCAGCGGGGTTCTCAGGACAGGTCTTGGAGCGCCACCCACAGGCCCCGGGTGCCTTCAGCTCTGGACCTTCCTGCCTCCCTGTGGCTCCCCGGGGACACGGGCAGGGCCCCCTGTCCACCCAGGGAGCGCCGCCTCCCGGCCTGGGAATGTGGGTGGGAGCCCCCCAGGCGGCGGCGGCGGGCACAGAGGCCCCAGTGTGGAGCGCGGGTCCCCTGAGAGGCGCAGACCATGAGTGGCCGTCGGAGAATGCCCTCCATTATCCCCTCACAGAGCACAAAGGGGCCACGCGGGGGCTCGGCAGGCCAGGCGCCCGCGGTCCCCGCCCCTGACCACAGAGGGCACCGCTCACAGCGGGAATGAGGCCCCGCCACCCCACCCCCAGGGACACAGGGGGCTCAGGGGGCTGGGCTCCTGGCCCTCCCTCCCAGCCACCCTGGAAAGCCCCGTCCCAGCGGGTGACATCCGGAGCAGACGGGGAAGGGGACACTCCAGAATCCAGGGGCGGAGCCAAGGACACCCACAGGGGACAACAGCAGCCAAGATTGTGTAGGATCCCATCAGTGTGACAGGCACTGTGGCTGCAGGGTCACCCCAGCCCTCACGGCTCACCCTGGGGAGGGACGTTGGCAGTGACCACAGACCCAATGTGGAGGAGCGAGGGGAGGCAGGCGAGTAGTTAGAGGTCACTTATTTGCTGTGTGACTTCAGGCAGGCCTGTAGGCCTCTCTGAGCCTTTAGGAGAAGAAGGGAGGAAACCAAGGTGCAGGCCTCACGTGGGTTGATGTGTGTCAAAGCCCTTGGTGACGCCCGGCACAGATGGCCACATCCTTAGCAGCAACCGCACCAATCCTGCATTTCATGATGCGCTGCTGGGTGCATTGACATGTGTCCACCATCGTCACCCAGTGGGGTGACATGAACAACAGTCCCGTCTCCTGGATATGGAAACTGAGGCTCACGGAGAGGCAGCGCCACCCAGCTCAGACCCAGAACAGGGCCTGGAATTCAGGGGTCTCCACTCCAAGGCAAGGGACAGGAGGGGACAAAGTGGTCAAGAGCTGTGCCGCAGCAGGCAAGTGGTGGTGTATCTCTGATCCTCCTTCTCCATCTGTAAAATGGGTCTGATAAAAACCCATCTCTCGGGGGTTGCTGCTAGGAGGGAAGGGTAAGGCCCCCCGCAAAGAAGCCACAGTGACGGCTCCTAGCTCCGCCCAGGCCCCCTGGCTGGGGGCACCCAGCCGCCCTGGAGCATTCTGTTTCTAGAACCTTCCTGTGGACAAGTGTCAGGGGCATTTCCTGCCAAGAAAACAATCTCAGAGGCCGAGCCCAGGGGAGGCCAGGGCAGGAGGCCAGGGCAGGAGCCCCTCCTTGGCCCAGCGCTGGCCTCCGCTGTTATTCTTTCCAATTCAAGAAGAAAAACACTTCCTCCCTGTCCCCCCCCCTGTGCCCTGAGCAGCCAGAGGCCAGGACAGACAGCAGGTCGGAGGGGCTCAGAGGCCCGGCCACCGGCCTTGGACGCTGCAGGCCGGGACATGCCCTTCTGTGGGCCACCGCGTCCCCGTGTGCCAAAGCACTGGATGTTTCTGCACATTTCTAAACTGGGGACCCTTTCCCACCCCCTGGGAGTCTGTCTTTAAATGAACTCACTTTGCAAAGACGTCTACACTCGCTGCAAATCCCAGCCTCAGACAGCTGATGGCCCTCGCCCGGAGCTGCAGACCTTCGTTCCATTAAAAAGGAACAGTGACCAATGTGAGCGAGTCATTAGAGGCTGCCTTAGCTCCAGACGGAGACCTTCCCTTGATCTGATCGACAGTTAGAGTCTCAGGGGGACCGGCCCCAGCTCATCGTGTGCCAGGGTGAACCCGGGGTGGCTAATTCTGGGCTTGTTAGCGATGGGTCTCCCAGAACCTCTGGCTCAAGTCCCATCTGTCTCCCTGTGGTCTCTCCTGGGAGGACACCCCCGTGGCTGGGAGATGTGGCTGTGATCCTTCCTTCTACTCTACTCTGTCCAGCCAGGGAGGCTGGGAGGCTGCCACCCTGATCCATCCTGACCTGAAGGAGGTCCCAGCTAAAGGGTGGAGCACAGAATCTTCACCTGGGTAATTCCTCATCTGCTCAATGAATGAGTCCGGTGACACCCGTATTGTCCCTTGGCTGTGAGGATGCATGAGATAGTGTGGGGGTTAGTCCTCAGGGGCTCAGGTTCAAGACAGAAGTTGGGACCGTGGACTTCAACTGCAATCCTCTGGCCTCTCTCTGCTCTTGAGCTCTAACACGGGTCGTAGGGGCCATTACTCAAGAAACTGGCACTTGTCCCCAACCTGTGCTTCCTGTTCATACTTCAAGACTCGCAGCTTTCCCAGGGTGCGTTATGATGACTGTCTCTGTTTTACAGTGGAGGAAACGGGAGGCTCAGAGATGGCAGGTTCTTTGCCAAAGGCCACACAGCACTTCCGACCTTCAGTTCATACCATACTCCAGCCCCAGATATTGCCCACCTGGAGCGGCTCCTGAGTCCCAGCCTCCAACTTAGCGGGGAGTTTGGTGTCCAAAGCGCCTGGAGCCATCCACGGTGCCAGGCTGAGCCGAGACGCCACGGAGCATTATGCTGCAAGCTCAGTGGGGGGAGCTGCAGGATGCGGCATGAGGAGCAGGAAGCAGGGAGGGGCCAGAGAGGGAGAGAGGGTGGGGGATAGGGAGGGACAGAGGTGGGGACAGAGAGAGAGAGGGAGAGAGAGAACGGGAAGGAGAGGGAAAGAGATGAGAGGGGAGGAGGGGGGACAGAGACCGAGAAGAGAGACAAGGACAGGGGTAGAGGGGTGGACGGTGCAGGTGGGGGGTGCAGGGAGGGCCGAGAGGGCTGGGGGGAGGCCACCAAGGCAGACCCCCCCCAGGCTTCTCAGTGGCTCCCACAAGTGGCAGGAAGTGACCCTTCCCACAGGGACCTGGTGGCTATAGACCCAGCCTTTACTGCTGACCCCAGGGACACAGGGGAACCCCCCCACCTTTCTCCCTACCTGACTGCCAGGGCCACCCCCAGAGCCAGGGCCACCAGGCACCCCGTGGCAGCTGGGGGTCTGACGGGAGATTGGAGAGGTCAGGGCTGGTGGCCTTGGGCCTTTGGACACATAGATCTGTCCCTGATGAGCTTGCCTCTGGGGCTGGCCCTTGGCTCCTGGGGACTCTGTTTCCTAACTACAGGTTGGAAATGCCAGTCCCAGTGTCACAGGGTGCCCACGCCGGTGAAGCACGGGCCACACGGTGCCTGGCAAAGGACAGCCCCTGGGCCAGACGAGAGCCCCCACTGTGAGCCACAGCCCGAGGAGGGCCCTCCAGGGGCGGGGACCTCGGGATCTCAGCACTTGCCCCTGACCCCAAGGGCCACCTGGAGGTCAAAGGAGAGGCTTCCAGGGCCAGCTGGTGTGTGGCTGGTGGCCCTCCGAGTCTGGGAGGACTTAGATCCTTCCAGAGCCCAGGACATCAGGACCCTCCCAGGGTCCCTGTGTCCCCGGACCAGCGCCTGCCCAGCCCCCGCCTGCCCCAGCTGGATCTGTTTGACCCCCTGTCCCTCTGTCCCTGTGGCTC